AATAATAAAAGTAACAGAACAGGTCACGGCTTGGGGAAATGAGAAAGCTGAGGCGCAGAGATCTTCATGCAGTGAGATATGTTTAATAGAAGTTGCAGACTTACAAGAACTCAGAAACAGCACAAGAAATAAAGGAAACTGAGGAGGATACATATAAAAAAAACAGAGATTAATACTTGCAACATAAATAGGCAAAACCCTAAAAACTCAAACCACCAATGTTCATGACAAAACATTTTCTTGCATTAATAAAAGCTGCCTCGGATTCGCCCAATGCAGGAAGTGTTCATGTCATGGTTTGCAGGAAACAATGTGCGTAAAAATCTGATTTAAAATTGGATATTTGCGGGGCTCTTTGTTTTAGATACAAAAGTAGTTGATTTTTCATTTTTAATGCTTAGGACATCACGCATATCAGAGTCGGTGTGCTTAAGAAAAATAAAAGTACTCCTCTGATGATGGCAACATTCGTACTGAAAGTATGTGTTTAGTTGCTTGGATTGTTCAGTAAACAGTTGCAGGAGCTGTAGGAGAAAATGTAAACATTGACTGTGACACCTTTCTTGTTTTCCCAGCTGTTGACACCAACACCTCGTTAACTAATTAGCAAGGGCATCATTGCATTCTGGTCTAAGCATTAGTTAGCTGTCATAACAAGAGCTGTCTCTCTCCTGCAGTGCCTCTGAAATCTAGTCATGCCTTTTGAATCTTTTCACATTTTGTCACAACAACAGAACTAAACATGGGATTTCATGTAACAGAGCAACACAAAGTGTAATGCTTAATTGTGAAGTGGAAGAAAAAGGATGCATAGTTTTTAAAATGTAATTATCTGAAAGGTGTGGTGTGCATTTGACACAAATGACAAAAAGGGTTTTCTAGCTCTGGCTGTATGCTTATTTGTAGATGTTCTGCTGGAAATGTAAGTCATCACACTGGTACTCTGACCCCAGAGCATGATGCTCCCACTGCCACCTTCACCATGGGGTTGATGTGTTCAGGGTGCAGTATGAGTTTTCCTCTTCATATTCTGTTTTGTAAGCCAGGAAGTAACATTTCAGTCTCTTCTGACCAGAGCTTGCTGTATCCCCAGCTTGAATTATTGTAAACTGTAAATGAAATTCCTTCTGGGTTTCTTTGAACAGTGAAATTTTTGTTTTCTTGTCAGATTTGTGGAGTGCATATTTTTGGATAATGGACTATATTGAATCGGTGTACTTTGTACACTAACCCTCTCTAAAGAGCTCCTGAGGGAACAGTAAAACAGCTGTATATATACTGAGATTAAATTACACACAGATGGACTCTTTTTACTAATTAGATAAATTCTAATTAGTTTCAGATTTTATTTAGAGGTGTCAGTGTCAGACTTGTTAAATTACTTTTGCAAGATACTCTAAAACTCAATAGTTGATCGGTGCAGTGGGGACCACTCTCCACAGTTGACCCGTTCAGTTATGCATGACTAGTTTCCCTTATTGCTGTTCTGTTCAAATAGGAGAGTGGTGTAAATGGTTCTCGTCTGACTCCTGGGACCGATGGAACGTATTCCCCCAAAATGTTGAACTCCTTTTAAAGATTCATGTTGCCCCGCAGGTGTGATGCTAATGAGTTTAATTTAGATGACAGCGTGATCTTGTTAAATGCACTGCTGCCACAGTGAAGGGTGGAAGCATCTCTCTGTTGCTTTACAATGAGAGGTTTTACTCGGTCTTCCCGTTACGATGAGCTGTCGTTGAATAAATGACTCTCTACTCGTTTTGCGATAATGCGAACAATTTGTTGTGCCTTAGACAAAGTGTCTGCAAGTTGATCTCAGTAGACTCCTGTTTGCCTGTATCTAAAGGAATCTTATGAAAAGGTGTCTTCCACTTCCACTTTTTCTTTGTTGCTCTCATTAAGTAAAGCCTCAGGCTTTGTATAAATCATTGGAGACTTGATGTCTGAGCTGTTCAAGGGGAGGTTTTTCAAGTGAAACTACCTGGTGCTTTGTGAGAACAGCAGGAGCATAATATTTATACTTACACCTTAAGTACAGAGTGCATAACTGATGAAACTGAAGAGAGACGTTGGCCATGGACTGTGAACACTTGTGTTGATTTTCAGATGTAGCAGACTAACAGTGCAGATGAGCTCACTGCGGTGAAATCTGGACTCCTGTGGAGAGTTGACCAAGGTTGAAGTTATGCAGCAGCTCAGCCCATTTCAAAATGACTCACAATGGTTAACATTTTATGTACTTCAGCTCTTTTAGTCCTCCCTTTAGTTTCACTCTCGCTTTGCTTTGGATGCCGAGCTGCTGCTGGGACCGTCTTTGAAGACGACAGGCTTGACAAAGCAAGGTATAAGTTGTTATGACAGTGGAAATTCGCTGCTCATATTTCAGTGTCTGCTCTAACGCCTAAAGGTCTGAGTAGGTGTGAAAACGAAAGTTTAAAACAGTTACACTTTTTTTTGTCTCAGCTTAGAAACACCTATAATAAATGAAGGATTTAGCTTTTTCAAATGTCCTGCTTCTAATCGATTCTAACGTTTCTTACTCTGCACTCAAAATTGAAATTATTCCAGAAAATCAAAAAAAAAGAAGAAAAAAAACAGTTGTCAGTAGTCTTAGCCCTTGGACAGTAAACATGTTTTTCTCTTAATTTACACACAGTTTAAAAAATACAGTTTTTGTTAGTTGGGAAAACTCTCTGATAAAAACAGAGAAAATAACTGCGGATTCTCACAAAGCAGGAGAATGATTAAAAAAAATATAAGAGCTGGACTGGAGTTTAAAGAGAACCACACAGCACAGAACCAGACTGCTGGAGCTACCAAGTGAAAGATTTCAAAGACCCTTCAAGAAAACTAGTGCGAGATGTCTCTAATTAATCCAGAACTACTGCCAAGATGTTAGCAAATGATTACAATCATTAGAACAAACCACGAACAACCATGTCTTCCAAGGAGACATCCTTTTGCATCCTCAAAAGATTATTCATACTGGAAGCATGTTCCTTGGTCAACTGATCTGAAACTACAGATCTTTGACCATAGAGATCAATTTTTATCTTTCCTATTGTGTTAATGAGAGTCAGCCAAGACAAAGACTCCTCATCAGGCTGCCTTTAAACTCTTGGCTTAGTAAACACATAAGAAGTCTTGACCACTTCTAAATAATTTGTCAGCATTTCGGGGAGACTTGTGACAGGACATGAATCATTTATAAGCTTTTTGACAACACACCGACAGGTTAAATGTTTGCTTCTTCTGACATTGATGCTGGCATCTGCATGGGGGCTTCCTGGGATATTTCTTTAGTCTCAGACGAGGTTAGAAACTGCAGAAAATTGACGACTGAAACCTCATTTGAATTATTCTACACTGATTAAGGATAAATTAAAATCCTGTTGACTCTATTTTTTTTTAAAACAATAAGTGGTGATTCTTCTTTTTCCAGAAAATATTTCTAAAATCTTGTCTCTTGTTCTTCATGCTAACCCAGCACTGTGTATCACTGGACGTGTTGGTTAACAACAGTTACTGTCTAGTGAAACGTGTTAAAATAGGTGTAATAAAATCTTAATGCATGCTTTAATATACTTATAGAAGTATTTAAATACAAACATAAAATCCTGACAATTCAAATAATAAAAGCACTTCATTGTTTTTAAGCTATCTTCCGTGTATTGCTGTACAGATTTTAAAAGTATAGAACAGAAATAGTTTTTCTTCACTTATTCGTCATGTAATTATGCCCATCATCCCCCTCAATCACTAATTTCTTCTTTCCCATAATAACTGTCACCATTCCTTCATTCTTCTCTCATCGGCCTCCTCAATCTGTCCCTCACTCACCCCAGGAAGATATGCGTGGTTATGGTGCACAGTGATTGCTACTGCAAGCCTAATTAACAAGCGATCATTTTGGTTTGAAGATATGTCCAACCTGTCCAGAAGTGTCTCAGCTAAAATGTGGAAATATGTGGTCCAAAATTGGACCACATATTTAAGTGAAATAAAATGGGTTAATAAGGTTTTTTTTTTTTTTTTTTTTTTTTTAAGCCTATATGTCGACAGTTTTAGCAATGAGTAGCAGATTTTACAAAAAGACTGTACTGCTTGTCAGGAACTGAAGTTAAGGACCTGCTTTGTTGCAAGCGTGCCACACTGCAGCGTGACTTAAAATTCACAATTACTCCATGAGTCACTTTCCATGTGCTCCAGTCATGTTTATTTTACTGACTTTGGTTAATTTATTCTGAATTATATGAAGCAGATGTCACATTTCAGTCTTAGCTTTCAGGGATTTTTGTATGATTTACTGACTTTCAGGTTCTTAAAATTATTTAACTATATTGCATATAAACCTTTTTTGTATGGACTCAGTAATAAAATGAGATCTAATGCTTAGTGGTGGATTAAAAACATATTCCAGATCATTCAGGGCAAATTAATAAGAAAATGCTAGTTACTGTCTTCCTTGGTTCTGGAGAGATTTCTGTTTGACATTGATATGTTTTTCTGTATTTAAAGATCTAATACTCTTTTAAATTATATTGGGTATTATTTGTCAGATATAAGGTGGCTGCATGCATTTTACTTGAACTGCGTTACATTTGCTGCTGCTAATAAAATAAATGACAATGTGAGTAGTAAAATATCTAATAAATAATGCAAGTATCACCCCATTATTGATTGTTTGTCAGCTACACAGCAGCATACTACAAAGCAAATGAGATGAAGATTAATTATCAGTGCTGGGAAATAGCCGTTTGACAGAACAGCTCTGGAATAATCTTTAGAAAATTTTAATCAATATGAGCTTCCTAATGAAATATTCAGGTTGAAAAAGTAAAAGTTTCTCCCTTTAGCCGAAATTGTAATATTAAGTGTAAAGAAACTATTTTGCCCCCTGAGAGAAATATTGCCAGTTTTGGTGGAGTAAAACATTAAACTCATGACTCAAATTAATTATCTAACTTATTGTACGCCTTCTTTTCCTCCCTCCCTTCCAGACCACCTCTATCAGACCCCGGGCCTAAAGCAGGAGCGCAGAGCACCCATGGGCCAGGCGACAGGTTGGCCTTCCATGATGCCAGTCAGCATGCTGCGCCTCAAGGAGGCCAGGGTCAGGGGCATGCAGCCAGGAAGAATCTGCAGGTTGACTTGGGGGGCGGCAGAACCGGAAGGTCCCCTTCTGTGTCCCCGGACCGTGGGAGCGTCCCCACCTCCCCTTATTCTGTGCCTCAAATTGCTCCGATGCCCAGCAGCAAGCTGTGTCCTGTCTGTAAAACCACCGACCTGATGGGCACTGGGGACGACAAGCCCAACTTCAACACCTGCACACTGTGCCGCTCCATGGTGTGCAACCAGTGCGGCTTCAACCCCAACCCTCACCTCACAGAGGTAGGCAGTGCTCAGTTATGGCATTTAAAAAAAAAATGAAGCTTGTTTTATTGTTGTTTGTTTGACATAAGATATTTTTATTTGACAATCTTTATTCAAAGTGGAAGATAAGGGTTGCAAACAACAGGATAAAATTTGAAAAATAATCAAAACGAGTCAAAATACCATTTCATCAAAATCATACCACTAGAATATATTAATTACAATTTAATACATAAAAAATGTGAACAAAACCCCCATAAGATATTTGTAAAAATCATAACATTGAGATAAATGTCTTCTATTAAAATACCTTTAATAGGGATTTTAATATATGTGATAGTGTATGATGTAACTTAGTTATGAGCAACAAAAAATGCTGACTGTGTGTCATTGTGCATTCACATGGGAAATATTGCTATAAAGAATAGTAATATCAAGTTGACTTTTTATTGCTTGGCTTGTAATTTTCAGATTTAAAAATGTAAAATAAAAACCTGTCCTTGATTAATTGAATTACAGGACATTCTTGGAACTGTTGAATGTTTGAAGGGATCAGAGATTGTTTGACAATCTGACAACAATTATTTCTGTTTGGTAAAAACATCTTCTTGCATCTTGGTGTGTTTGTATATTATACACTTCAAGTATTATATCAGTATCAGTATACTAAATGCGTGACAATTTTGTTTAAAACATTCTAATTAAATTTTCATTCTGTGGAAAGATTTTTCTAATCGCCGATGAAGAGCAGCTTTGATGATGACTATTGTTGCTGAGTTGGCTTTGACTGCTTCACAGTCTGTAATGCAGCAGCTGAACAGGAGGGAACATGAGAGATCAGTTACATGCTGACTGAGAGCTGTGAACCTTTTGTTCTAACAACAATTTGTCTTGATTTTTTAAATCTGTTGGATGTAATTTGCAAGTCATAAAATGTGTTTGTGAACAGAAACCAGCGAGTAACAGAATATGAGGGAAAAAAAAAACACAAGCTTAATTAATCAGGTTGCAGAATTAATTAAAACAATATAAGATATTCTTGTAATTTAATCTTGACAGTATATGTTTAGTGATGTATGGCACTGTCCACATTTAAAAATAGGTGGAAAGTCTCAAATTAGATTAATTTTTTGTTACAGTAGCAGAATCTCACACACAAAACTTTGCTGCAAGTCTCTTACCAGTGACATTCAAACATCATTTTTTACCTCACTTATTATCCTCTTCACTGCGTGGGGTGGCAAGATAAACTTCATCCAACCTCAGCCTTAATTGTCACAATTTTAGTCAATATTAAACTTTTAATTGATACTGTTAATGTAGATATCAATGCATTTAGAGAAGAAGATAATTTTGGTAACTATTTCCAAACTTTGTACTTTTTATCTTGCCATGTATGTTGTTGTACATGTGAAGAAAAGGAAGTGTGTTTTGTGGAAAACAATCTGTCATAGAGTGAAAGTATACGAATCTGATTAGGACAAATTATGCTGAAGATCTTTGTGACTTTCAACAAGTAAATTGTTTGGAGTCAAGAAGATTTTAGCTTAGTTCATTTTAGCTTAGTTTGCCCAATTGAAATATAGGTCAAATATTTATATAACAAATACTAACTTATAATGCATTCATCCACATAGCATAGAAAAACATATAATGTAATCCAAGAGTACAATCCTTCATCAGTTGATCATAAATTTATGAAATACAACCATATAGAAAAGAAAAAAATCTCTGCCTGCTCCTGATGACCTTTTCAGCTCGACTATCCAAGCCAGCCACCATCACTGTTAATCGCAGTTTGACTCATCATCATCCTCGATAAACACCATCACGTTGATCTGCCCATAATCAATTTCCCTTCTAAGCGATAAGGCGTGTTTTAGATAGGCTGCAGAAAAGCCGAAGCTCAGTCCATGTTAACTAGGTTATGGGGGTAAATCTTCAGGTCTCCGGAGGCAGAGCGCTTTCCCTCAACGTCTCTCTTCCTGTCAGCATCTGTCCAGCTCACTGAGGCTGAGCTGAAAAGTACCCGCCTCCGCTGTTCTCTTTACTCCCTCGCTCTCCTTCACTCCCTGCCACGATCCATTCTCCGCTATCTGTCTCCGCTTTGGTCCACGAGGTTTTTTTTCTTGTCCTTCCGATTCCTACGCCTTTCTTTTCTTTTCCTCTAACAATGGAAGCCTCCAGAGTTATGCTATCCTCATGCATGGAGGCACCCAAGCCTAAAAACACAGCCATTACCCAGTATACGTACATCGGCGCTGCATTTGTACAAAAAAATAAGCATTTACTCTCGATAACCCAGTGCATAATAAGCCTGCGGCTCCTCTTGTAGCCTGTAGGCCAGCTTAACTAACGTTGCATTATTGCAGTTCTGCCACATGACTCATTGAAGTTGATGTGAAACTTTATGACAGATGACACAGCCACACTTGATTCACAGTAACACTGTGGAATGGCCTAATTCATATTAGCAATGTGATTTATTTTAGGATCAACGCAAAAGGCTTTCTCAGCTACCTGTTCATTAAAATAAATGCTTAGATGGACTTCAATGATTGTTAATGGCAGGGGAAATATACTGAGCTGTCTTCACAGGAGCAGCATCAAGTATTTCTAAAATCCTATCAAGCTTTTATAGAAGATGGACGTACAGCTCCATCATTTTTACTGGCAGCCCTCGTAAAATTTAATAAAGTCTTAAAATAAATTCAGGCCCAGTATTTATAATCTTCTTCAGGATACTTTGAGGTAATTTGAGGGTGTCTCTTCTGAAGACATGGAGTTTTTTTTTTTTTTGTTTTTTTCCTTATTTACAACATTCTAGTCTATTTGAGTGCGGAAATGTACTTTGCAAATTAATTTGATTGACTAATAGATTGAGTGATTCATTCATTCATGTGCTGATCTCTAATAATCGTCTCCTTTCAGTCTACAGTTTCTGACTTGGCTAGGTCATCTACAGCATCATAGCATCTCTTCTGGGTTATCAGCTCTTGATAGGTTGTATTTTTTTTTCTGGATCTTTTGCTTGGTGCTTCTACCAGGCCTATTTTAATTGCTAAAGCAGGAATGGTTTCTGATATGGGGGACGTGCAAAAACTTGGGCCATTAGACTTCCCTGTCTGGAAATCAAGCCCTTAACTCTAAAAGTTACATTCTAGATTTTATGTTCCTTATCACTATTCACATGAAATATACAAAATGGAAGTTTGCATTACACATCATAAAATGCACATTCTCTCTGGACTTTCAAGGACATCTGCAGCATTTACACATGCCAGGATTACTCACTTGTTGACATGTTTAGTCAGAGATTATGTCTTGCTTTGTAAGAGGTCTGTTTGTTAACAAATGCTTTGCTCAAGCCAAATTACCTCTTCCAGATTACAGCAGTAAGAGTAGAATTTGTTACAGATTGATTATAGATTTATTGCTTCTATTTTCGTATTACTGATATCAACAGAATTTAATTTTGAATTTATGATTTCAAATACGAATTTAGAAAATATATTGAAAGCGATGTTGGAAAACAGTAGTGATCTAATATTTATAAAACATTTCATTAATCATATCTTTGGAAACCAAGTTCACCTTCCAACCCAAATCAAACCCTGTTCACTGCAAGAGCTCTAAAAGCAATAAATAACTTAAAAACAAGGTTAACAGATCTTAAAAAGCAACATGCCAACCTCAGATCTAAAGGTGTTCAAGAACTGATGAAAAACACGGTAATTAAAAGCTACAGTTAAGGTCAATTTATTCATATCACTCAGTCCAGAAGTTTGTTTCCGATAGGAAATGACAGACATCTTTCAAAAGATTGTACAATTCTAAGAAGAGTACCAATTAATCAAAGCTTTTCCTTCTTCATTTAAATTGTTTTAGAAAATGACATGATACAAAATATTTATACACATCTCAAAAATCAGTTGAAAAATCTTTCTTCTTCCATTCAGAAGAAGCATAAACATAAAAATAAAAAAAAGTCAAAGCAGCCGAATAATGTACATAAAAAAAAAACTCACAAAAGTGGCTAGTATTTGATAGAATGATAGAACTGCTTTAAAACTATTTCCCTGGTTTGCATCTCTGCCATGTAATCCTTTATGTTGCATTTCTTGCAACCTTACCTAGTAACTGCTGAGATAAAGTGGATTTTTTTTTTTTTACCACAAACTCAATATTTTTCCACCTGTCTCTGTATTAAGCAAAAGATTTTAATGATTTACTTAAAACATTTAGTACAATATGTCCTTATTTAAAATATTAAGGGCTAGCCTTGTTTACGCAGAGCGACTTGGGACACAAAGACTGTTCTTGAAATATAAGTCAGTGTTGTGTCAAGCAACTTAATGACGGGAATGCAGTTCAGATGTAAACAGCAAGCAACAAATGGATGTCATGTGCCACAGTGTGTTACAGGGCTGTCAGTCAGGCTGAAAGGAACTGTTTTATTTACAGATTTAGTCTGACAATTGAGACCTGCAAGCAATCATGCAGTTGACTTCTGTTCACATGTGATAATCTTCTGCAGGAGATAACTGGGTAAAGAAATGAATGTGCTCCGCGATTCAAAAAAAAAAAAAAGAGTAGTTACGAAGGAGTTGAGAAACCAGTGATGTTGGGGAAGAGCAGCTAGAGATTCAGAGAGACGAGGTCGTCTGAAGACAGCCTTCAAACAACAGAGAACATGAGCACACAGTGAGAGATAGTGAAAATACCACAGACACTCCCCAGACACCGTTCTCCCACCACCATGCAGGAGAACATCTGCTTTATAATTGGTCCAATTTCTATTTATAGAGCCTACCCTCCTTCTGTCTGCAGCAATGGCCTGGTCCTGAGAAGCCACAGCTGAAAGGAGAGAGCAGTGTGAAAAAGCTGTGTAGCAGCAGGAGGAGATGGAACAGGAGAGAAAACCATCATCATAAATTAACCATAATAGCTGCAGTGTTTATAACACGGCAGAGCAACTGTACAACGATTCAGCACCTGGGAAGAATAGAAAATACAAA